GGTCCCAGTGGGTGTGCCCGCATGCGTCCCGCACACCCATTTCGGCACAACCTTCACACGCTTCGTGGCCCCATAGGGAGCTCCACCGAAGGTCCCAATGGGTGTGCCCGCATGCGCCCCGCACATCCATTTCGGCACACCCCTCACACGTTTCGTGGTCCCATAGGGAGCTCCACCGAAGGTCCGAGTGGGTGTGCCAGCATGCGTCCCGCACACCCATTTCGGCACACCCCTCACACGCTTTGAGGCTCCATAGGGAGCTCCACCGAAGGTCCCAGTGGGTGTGCCCGCACGCGTCCCGCACACCCATTTCGGCACACCCATCACACGTTTCGTGGCCCCATAGGGAGCTCCACCGAAGGTCCCAGTGGGTGTGCCCGCATGCGTCCCCGCACACCCATTTCGGCACACCCCTCACACGTTTCGTGGCCCCATAGGGAGCTCCACCGAAGGTCCCAGTGGGTGTGCCCGCATGCGTCCCGCACACCCATTTCGGCACACCCCTCACACGTTTCGTGGCCCCATAGGGAGCTCCACCGAAGGTCCCAGTGGGTGTGCCCGCATGCGTCCCGCACACTCATTTTGGCACACCCCTCACACGTTTCGTGGCCCCATAGGGAGCTCCACCGAAGGTCCCAGTGGGTGTGCCCGCATGCGTCCCGCACACCCATTTCGGCACACCCCTCACACGTTCCGTGGCCCCATAGGGAGCTCCACCGAAGGTCCCAGTGGGTGTGCCCGCATGCGCCCCGTCGTCTCTCTGCCCAGCGGCAAGAGCCTTGCCCGCTATCAGCCAGCCAGCTAGCTCTTTTTGCTCCGCGCAGTGGACGACCCGCGCGCGTCGCTGGGACCCCTCCGGGGCGACCTGCGCGCGTCGCGGGGACTCCGCGCTGCGCTGCGCCCGCAACCTTGGACTTTTGAGTGCGCGGGCAAAGAGGGAGTAAAGGAAGGGGAGGAAGCGGGCGCGATCCTCGCCGGTGGGCGCGCCGACATTGGCGTCGCGGCGCGCGGGCGATGCCGTCGGGGAGTCCCGGGGAAGCTCCTTGCGGCGGCCACGCCCAGCGTCACGAGTACTCAGAGGCAGACATTGTCAAACTATTGACATTCATACACAATTGCGCCACGCTTTGTCATATTCGCATTCATGCACGTAGACTCGTTCGCACGCAGATTCATTCACAGTCAGACGCACGCGCGCAGATTCACCCGCGCTCAGTCTCCCTACGTACTCAGATCAATCGTTTTCGTTCGCGTTGTGTACCACGCCACTCATGTCGGCACACCCCTAGCACGGTTCGTTGCCTCATAGGGATCGCCACCGAAAAAGTGAATCACTATTGCGGTACTCACACCTGTATATGGTTGGGTCCCTCGTCAGGCTAATTTTTTTCGTGCAGGATGCGCGTGGGCCGCCGCGCGCGTGGCGGCCCTGGGCCACTCTCGCATGGTGCATTTTCTATGCAAGATGCGCCGCCGCGCGCGAGGCGGCCTTGGCCTCTCGCGCGTGTTTTTTCCCAACCATCCTGTGGTGTTGGGTCCTCGTTTTGAAGAGACAGCGCCCCGCGTCTCCTCCTCTCCTCCTCCTCTCCTCCTGCCGTCCGCATGCGTCCCGCACACCCATTTCGGCACACCCCTCACACGTTTCGTTGCCCCATAGGGAGCTCCACCGAAGGCCCCAGCGCTGCCGTCCGCATGCGCCCCGCACACCCATTTCGGCACACCCCTCACACGTTTCGTGGCCCCATAGGGAGCTCCACCGGAGGCCCCATGGCTGCCGTCCGCATGCGTCCCGCACACCCATTTCGGCACACCCCTCACACGTTTCGTGGCCCCATAGGGAGCTCCACCGAAGGCCCCAGTGCTGCCGTCCGCATGCGTCCCGCACACCCATTTCGGCACACCCCTCACACGTTTCGTGGCCCCATAGGGAGCTCCACCGAAGGCCCCAGTGCTGCCGTCCGCATGCGTCCCGCACACCCATTTCGGCACACCCCTCACACGTTTCGTGGCCCCACAGGGAGCTCCACCGAAGGCCCCAGTGCTGCCGTCCGCATGCGTCCCGCACACCCATTTCGGCACACCCCTCACACGTTTCGTGGCCCCATAGGGAGCTCCACCGAAGGCCCCATGGCTGCCGTCCGCATGCGTCCCGCACACCCATTTCGGCACACCCCTCACACGTTTCGTGGCCCCACAGGGAGCTCCACCGAAGGCCCCAGTGCTGCCGTCCGCATGCGTCCCGCACACCCATTTCGGCACACCCCTCACACGTTTCGTGGCCCCACAGGGAGCTCCACCGAAGGCCCCAGCTGCCGTCCGCCGTGCGCACGCGTCCCGCACACATTTCGGCACACCCCTCACACGTTTCGTGGCCCCACAGGGAGCTCCACCGAAGGCCCAGTGCTGCCGTCCGCATGCGTCCCGCACACCCATTTCGCACACCCCTCACACGCTTCGTGGCCCCATAGGGAGCCCCCCGAAGCGCCCCAGCTGCCGTCCGCACGCGTTCCGCATGCGTCCCGCACACCCATTTCGGCACACCCCTCACACGTTTCGTGGCCCCATAGGGAGCTCCACCGAAGGCCCCATGTGCTGCCGTCCGCATGCGTCCCGCGCACCCATTTCGGCACACCCCTCACACGTTTCGTGGCCCCACAGGGAGCTCCACCGAAGGCCCCAGTGCTGCCGTCCGCATGCGTCCCGCACCCCCATTTCGGCACACCCCTCACACGTTTCGTGGCCCCATAGGGAGCTCCACCGAAGGCCCCAGTGGCTGCCGTCCGCATGCGTCCCGCACACCCATTTCGGCACACCCCTCACACGTTTCGTGGCCCCACAGGGAGCTCCACCGAAGGCCCCAATGCTGCCGTCCGCATGCGTCCCGCACACCCATTTCGGCACACCCCTCACACGTTTCGTGGCCCCACAGGGAGCTCCACCGAAGGCCCCAGTGCTGCCGTCCGCATGCGTCCCGCACACCCATTTCGGCACACCCCTCACACGTTTCGTGGCCCCATAGGGAGCTCCACCGAAGGCCCCATGGCTGCCGTCCGCATGCGTCCCGCACACCCATTTCGGCACACCCCTCACACGTTTCGTGGCCCCACAGGGAGCTCCACCGAAGGCCCCAGTGCTGCCGTCCGCATGCGTCCCGCACACCAGGTGTGTGGCGTGCCGACATGGGCGTCGCGGCGCGCGGGCGCTGCCGTCGGGGTTTCCAGGGAAGCCCCCTGCAGAGGCGACGCTCAGAGTCACGAGTACCGAGAGTCACGCAGACCCAAACTGTTCACAGTCGTATACATACATTTACACTGGGCGTATCCATGCACGCATTCATGCGAATAGAATCAATCGCGCGCAGATTCATTCATAATCAGACTCGCTCGCGATCCGACTCGCACGCGCTCAAGCTTTCATATTCGGACCTATCGTCTTCGTTCGTGTTGTGTACACTGCCACGCATTTCGGCACACCCCTCATACGGCTCGTGGCCCCATAGGGAGCGCCACCGAAGAAGATATTCACAATTGCGGTACTCTCAACTGCATATGGTTGGGTCCTTCGCCAGGCTAATTTGTTCATACAGGGCGCGCGTATGTCGCAGCGCTTGCGCGACGGCCCATTGCCTTTCGCGCGTGGTTTTTCCCATGCAAGATGCGCGTGGGCCGCCGCGCGCGCGGCAGCCAGTTGGCCCACGTGCGCTGCGTTTTGTTCCCAACCATCCTGTGGTGTTGGGTCCTTGTTTTGAAGAGACGGTGGCCCGCGTCTCCTCCTTCCTCCTCTCCTCCTCCTCCCCCTCCTTCCTCCTCCCTCCTCCCACCATCATCATCGTCATCATCATCATCGTCATCATCACCCATTTCGGCACACCCCTCAC